GCTTATGTGGTGCTGAGGAATTGAACCCAGGGCCTCAGGCATGCAAGGCAAGCGCTCTACCACTGAGCCACCTTCCCAGCCCCATTTTTTTTTTTAACCATGTAGAGCCCCACTTTTTTCCAGCACTGTTTGTCAAAAGATTGTCTTTGCCTGGCACCGGTGGCTCATGCCTATAATCCTAGCTACTTAGGAGGCTGAGATCTGAGAATAATAGTTCAAAGAGCCAGCCTGGGCAGGAAAGTGCATGAGATTCTTATCTCTAATAAACCACCAGAAAGCTGGAAGTAGCACTGTGGCTCAATTGGTAGAGTGCTAGCCTTGAGCTGAAGAGCTCAGGGACAGCACCCAAGTCTGGAGTTCAAGCCCCACCACTGACCAAAAAAAAAGATTGTCTTTATTGAACTACTTTGTAGGGTTTTTTTGTTTGTTTTTGTGCCAGTCCTGATGCTGGAACTAAGGGGTCTGGGCACTGTCCCTGAGCTGCTTTTGCTCAAGGCTAGTGCTCTATCACTTGAGACACAGCTCCACTTCTGACTTTTTTGCTGATTAATTTGGAGATAAGAGTATCATGGACTTAACTGCCTGGGCTGGCTTTGAACTACCATTCTCGGATCTCAGCCTCCTGAGTAGCTAAGATTACAGGTGTGAGCCACCAGCACCTAGGTTTTTTTTTGTTAATCAGTTGACTGTATGTAAGTCTATTTCTAGAAGACTTAATTCTTTTTTCAAACTATCTTTAGTTGTGCAAAGTATAGATGACTTTTTAACTCATTAATTTGTCTATCTTTTACTCAATAGCATGTAGTAAATGTTGAAATGTTGAAATCAGGCATTTTCAATTCTCTTGAAATTTTTAATTGTTGGTCATGGGCTTGAACTCTGGGCCTGGGCACTGTCCCTTAGCTATTCAGCTCAAGGCTAGCACTCTACCACTTGAGCCACAGTGCTACTTCCAGTTTTCTGGTGGTTTATTGGCGATAAGAGTCTCACGCACTTTCCTGCCCAGGCTGGCTTTGAACTGCGATCCTCAGATTTCAGCCTCCTGAATAGCCAGGATTATATGCATGAGCCACTGGTGCCCAGCTTCTCTTGAAATTTTCAACCTTTAGCATTGTTCTTTGCTTTTGTTTTGGTTATTCTAGATCCTTGATTTTATAGATTATAGTATCAGTTTGACTATAAAAAGGTGCTAGAATTTTTATTGGAATTCTATTGAATCTTTAATTTTGAGAAAATTAACATATTAACTTATGGATCATAGACCTTAATGTAAATTTGTGCTAAATCTAAAAAAGTTCCTTAAGAAAATATAGGTGAGGAAGTAGATCTATGACTCAAATGATAGAATGCTAACTTGAGCACAAAAGCTCAGGGATAGTACTCAGACCCTGAGGTCAAGGCCCAGAACTGGCATAGAAAAGAGAGAGAGAGAGAGAACTTTATTTGGGTTGGAATCATGGCTCTAGTGGTAGAATGCCAGCAAATGAGTAAAAGCAACTATCAAATACTGAGTTCAAGTCCTGGTCTCAGACAAAAAAGAAAAGGTTAGAGATTTAGTCCCTAGGACACAAAAAGCATGAGCCATTAAAAAGAAAAAGACAAAATGGATTTCATCAAAATAGAAACATTTTGTTTTTTCAAAGCACTATTGGAAGCCTGAAAAGATTTACTAATAGCAGGGTGCCGGTGGCTCATGCCTGTAATCCTAGTTACTCAGGAGGCTGAGATCGGAGGATTATGATTCAAAGCTAGCCTGGGCAGGGAAGTCCATGAGACTTTTATCTCCAATTAGTCACCAGAAAACCAGAAGTGGAACTATGGTTCAAGTGGTAGAGCACTTCACCTTGAGCTGAAGAGCTCAGGGACAACAACAACAACAAAAGATTTACTATTACGAAGGTATACTTTTGTCTGGAACATATAAAGAAGTCTATATAACTGGTAAGATAGAAAGGCCAAGTTGGGCACTCAGGAGGCTGACATCTTTGGATCGCAGTTTGAAGCCAGCCTGGGCAGAAAAGTCTGTGAGACTCTCCTCTCAAGTTAATTACCAAAAAGCTGGCCGTGTAAGTGTGACTCAAATGGTAGAGTGCTAGCCTAACTTTGAGCAAAAGAAGCTCAGGGAGGGCTGGGAAGGTGGCTCAGTGGTAGAGCGCTTGCCTTGCATGCCAGAGGCCCTGGGTTCGATTCCTCAGCACCACATAAGCAGAAAAAAAAGCCAGAAGTGGTGTTATGGCTCAAGTGGTAGCGCGTAAGCCTTGAGTTGAAGAGCTGAGGGACAGCGCTCAGGCCCAGAGTTCAGGCCCCATGACCGGACCCCCCCAAAAAAAAAAAGAAGCTCAGGGATAGGCCCTGAGTTCAAGGAATGGCAGAGACACGGGAGGGGGGGGAGAGGGAGGGAGGGAGGGAGAGCGCCAATAGAAATTGGCACAAAAGTAGATCAGACACATCACAAAAGATATGCAAATAGCCAATAGAATTTGAAAACATGGTAACCATTATAACTTAAAAATTGTGATTATGGGCTGGGAAAGTGGCTCAGTGGTAGAGTGCTTGTCTTGCATGCATGAAGCCCTGGGTTTGATTCCTCAGCACCACATAAGCAAAAAAAGCTGGAAGTGGCGCTGTGGCTCAAGTGGTAGAGCACTAGCCTTGAGCTGAAGAGCTGAGGGACAGCACCTACGCCAGGGTTCAAGACCCATAGCTGACAAAAATAAAAAAATAAAAATTAAAAAATTGTGAATTATGCCAGGCATGGTGGCACATGCCTATAATTCCACCTGCGTGGGAGGCTCAGGCAAGAGAAAGATTATGAATTTAAGGCCAGCCTCAACTATATAGTGAAATGTTTCTCAAAAAATAAAAAGGGGGCCTGGGAAGGTGGCTCCATGGTAGAGTGCTTGCCTTGCATGCATGAGGCCCTGGGTTCGATTCCTCAGCACCACATAAGCAGAAAAAGCCGGAAATGGTGCTGTGGCTCAAGTAGTAGAGCACTAACCTTGAACTGAAGAGCTGAGGGGGACAGCGCCCAGGTCCAGCGTTCAGGCCTCAGGACCAACAAAAAATAAATGAATAAATGAATAAATAAAAGGGAAGGTGGACGTTGGTATTCATGTCAATAATTCTATTCAGCAGGTTGAGATCTGAGGATCAGCATTTGATGCCAGCCTGCCTGGGGAAGGAAAGTCCATAAGACTTTTATTTACAATTAACCAGCAAAAAGTTGCAAGTGTGACTGTGGCTCAAGTGATAGAGTGCTAGTCTTGAGTGAAAAAGCTAAAAAACAGTTCCCCAGCTCCAAGTTCAATCCCAGTATTGGCACCAAAAACTCTGGTGGCTCATAGTTGTCAAACAGGCTACTCAATAAGTTTGAGATCTGAGGATTGTGTTCCAAAGCCAGCCTGGGCAGGAAAGCCCAAGAGACTTTTATTCCCAGTTAACCAGTTAAATTCTGGAAGTGGAGGTATGGCTCAAGCAGCAGAGGGCCAGACTTGAGTAAAGGGGAAAAAAAGCCACGTCAGAGCCCAAGGCCCTGAGTTTATTACAAAATAGTACTTAATATACACATGAGAACAGAATAATGAAATTAGTTAAAAATTGGCTAAAAAGGGTAAACAGGAATAAGAAAGAACAATAGAGTGTGAATTTGATCAAGGAACATTGTATGTGTATATAGAAATATAATAAGCAATACATGTACATATAAACACTTAGGCCCAAACGTTCATAGCAACTTTATTCATGGAAGCCCCAAAGTTGAAGCCATGTAAATGTCCATCAGTAGGTATTGGATTAATTAGTATATTTACTTAATAGAGAATAGCTTGGCAATAAAGAGGCATGAACTAGTATTACTTAGCACAACATATGGTTTCTTCTCAGAAACATGATATTGAGTGAGCGAAGTCAGTTGCAGAAGAGTACAACTTAATTTATATATTTTTTTGTGCCAGACCTAGGGCTTGAACTCAGGGCCTAGGCTCTGTCCCTGACCTTTTCATGTCAAGGCTAGCACTATATCACTTGAGCCATAGCTCCACTTCCTGGTATTTTTGGTAGTTTAGTGGAGATAAGAGTCTCACAGACTTTCCTGTCTGGGCTGGCTTCAAACTGTGATCCTTAGATCTCAGCCTCCTGAGTAGTTAGGATTTTACAGGTGTGAGCCACTGGCACCTCAGTACTTTTTTTTATTAAAAAATATTATTTTCCTTATTGTTATTATAAAGGTGATGTACAGAGGGATTACAATTACAGGTCAAGTAATGAGTACAATTCCTCTCATACCGTGTCTTCCTTTCCTTCAGGCTTTCCTAGCACAACTTTATTTATTTTGTCAGTCATGGGGCTTGAACTCTGAGCCTGGACACTATCCCTGAGCTCTTCAGCTCAAGGCAAGTGCTCTACCAATTGAACCACAGTGCCACTTCCGGTTTTCTGGTGGTTAATTGGAGATAAGAGTCTCACAGACTTTCCTGCCCCGGCTGGCTTTGAACCATGATCTTCAGATCTCAGCCTCCTAAGTAGCTAGGATTATGGATGTGAGCCACCAGCACCCCACTTACAACTTTATTTTTATGAAATACTAAGGAAGACCAAGTTATAGTGGCTAACAACAGATAAATGATGTCAGAGGGTAAGGATAGAAAGAGGGCATTACTGCAAGTGGACAAAGGGCTACCTTCAGAGGGTGAAAACATTCGGGGTCTTTGCTGTGATGGCGGTTACATCGATGTATCTCTTTAGACAAAACACACTGAACTATAAACAAGAGTAGTTTTATTATACATTATTAGAAAAACAACAGGTATCTCCATCTGTTGTGGTCTAGACTTCAGGACATAAGCATTTTGTGGGGCTTCAGTTTGAACTAGACCAGGTGTGGGACCTGCTGTCCACACAGTACTGAGGACCACAGTTTAAACATAAGGAGCCATTCCTGGGGAACCTTTCCTTTCATCAAGGCTCATTTCAGGGACAAAGGAGTGTAGGAAATTCTCTTCTTTACTCCTGTGCCTTTATTTTTGCCAGGTCTGCTCACTGGAGAGATTCCGCTCCTTACAGGACAAGCTACAACTCCTAGAAGAGGCAGTCAGCATGCATGATGGAAATGTTATTACTGCTGTAAGTTGTGGACTTTTATTGTCATTTATTTTGTTTCCATTGGTTTCTAAAAATCCAGTCAAAATTGACTTTGAACACTTTGTGTTCAATGTCAAGTAAAGACAAAGATATAGGATTCACAGCATTCCATGCTGCGGGGATCAGCTAATGAGACATAAATTTTATGTGGAGCCTTGTAACCAGAAAACAGAGGTTGGCTATTCTATGTTATTGAAAATGTAATCTGAGGCAGGAGAGATATGGAAGTACTCTCTCTGAGTTATCTCCCACTCAGTAGAGTCACAGCTGTGTGGACTCCAAGACACAGTTCAGTTCCAAATGTCCATCACCTTTTGCTCCATCCTGCTGAGCAATCTGTCACGTACCAGCATGATTTTTAATGCATTGCTGGCCTCAGTAGACATCAGGTGATCAGGGCAGGGCTGCACAAGCTGCACATTCTTTGTTCTTTTTTTCCCCTAGGTTCTGATTTTCCTGAAGAGGACACTGAGCAAAGGTGAGCATGATTTGAAGGAAATCTTCATTCAGTGAGGTAGCTGCCACATTTGAAAGGGAGAATGGCATGTGACTTCCATATCAGAATTCACCAGTCTGGTTGAGTAGCCTGGCACTTCCGAGCACACATCGCCCCTCTGAATGCATCCTTCAGGGTAGTACCCTATATTATCCACCATAGTAACTGCCTCCATTTATTGGGTAGACAGATGGCTGTGTTTGTTTGTGGAAGTGAGAATCTGTGTTAAGTGTCTGCTGTTTGTGTTGTTGAGCACTGAAAAGCTGCTTCAATGGCTGTGTGCTGCCATGGGTTATAGAAGCTGACAATGGTAGGTTGAGACAGAGGAAACCATTCTTAGCATCTGCTGGGCTTTGAGCAGATAATGTTTGAGTAGGAAGGCCAATTTCATGCTTGAATAATAAGCTTTACTCTTTTCCCCATCTGCCTCTTCTCACCTTCCAGAGATCCTCTTCCGAGAACTGGAGGTGAGACAGGTTGCCCTAAGACACCTCATTCACTTCCTTAAGGAAATAGGTGATCAAAAGCTGCTAATAGACCTTTTCCGGTAAGAACCAATCCTCTGGTCTGTAAAGCTTATTAAGGATTTTTCAAGGTACTCTGAGGGATACAAAGAAATAGAGGATACTGTCCTTTTTCTGAAATGTGATAGGGTAACAAACTACACAGTCTGTACTAAAGTGACAGTACAGTAGTTGGTTAAGAGTCAAACCTACGTAGGTTAAATATGGGTGCTACCACTTTGTTAACTTAAGAATGACCTTGGGCAGGGCGCTGGTGGCCTGTAATCCTAGCTACTCAGGAGGCTGAGATCTGAGGATCTTGGTTCAAAGCCAGCCCAGACAGGAAAGACCATGAGACTCTTATCTCCAATAAACCACCAGAAAACAGGAAGTGGTACTGTGGCTCAAGTGGTAGAGCAGTTGTCTTGAGCTGAAGAGCTGAGGGACAGCACCCAGGCCCAGACAAACTTCGTAACACCTTGGTTGTTTTCTCATCTGTAAAATGGGTGATTATGAAGATTGAGAATTTCAAGTTAGTGTGGCAGCCAGCACTAAGCATAATGCCTAGCTTGACATGTTAATCTTTTATTTTTTTTTTAATTTTTAATTTTTTGCTTGTCCTGAGGCTTGAACTCAGGGTTTGGGCGCTGTCCATGAGCTGCTTTTTTTTTGGTCATGAGGCCTGAACTCTGGGCCTGGGCACTGTCCCTCATCTCTTCAGCTCAAGGCTAACGCTCAACCATTTGAGCCACAGTGCCACTTTAGGCTTTTTCTGCTTATGTGGTGCTGAGGAATCGAACCCAGGGCCTCATGCATGTGAGGCAAGCACTCTACACTGAGCCACCTTCCCAGCACCATGAGCTTCTTGTGCTCGACTAGTGTTCTACTACTTGAGCCACAGCTTCACTTCTTGTTGTTTTTTTTTTTTCCGTTGTTGTTATTTTATTGGAGATAAGAATCTCATGGACTTTACTGCCCCAACTGGCTTCAAACCGCAATCCTCAGATCTTAGCCTCCTGAGTAGCTAGGATTATAGGCATGAGCCATTGATACCCAGCTAAAATATTTTTTTATAATTTTTTATTTTTTTGAATTTAAGTTTTTATTTACGTATTTCACTGTAGTGCTGTGAGAACAAAATGACATCTGTGTACCAGAGCATACATACTAATCTATTTTTTATACATTTCTTTTCAAATTAAAAAATATTTTTGTTTATGTGGTACTGTTTATGTGGCCTCATGCATGCTAGGCAAGCTCTCTACTACTAGACCACATTCCCAGCCCCCCACCCCCCTTTTTTTGTTGGTCATGGACCTTGAACTCTGGGCCTACGTGCTGTCCCTGAGCTCTTCAGCTCAAGGTGAGCGCCACAGCACTATTTCGGTTTTCTAAGTGGTTTACTGGAGATAAGATTCTCACCAACCGACCTTCCTGCCCGGGCTGGCTTTGAACTATGATTCTCAGATCTCAGCCTCCTGTGTAACTAGGATTACAGGCATGAGCCACCAATGCCCTGCTCCAATTTTTTTTAAAGCATTTTCTTATAAAAGACGTAAAGATACCTTCCATTGTTTGGTCCTAAGTGATGCCAATGAGAAGCACAATGGTAAAGAAGAAACTAATTTTCACTCAGGCTCCCCGAGGAACGTTTCAGAATTGACTAGGATTTGAATTGTGCCTGTGAGGCTAGGTAGGATTCTGCTAGCTAAGTGGTAGGATTTGTGCTAGGGGCAGAAGAAGATTGAAGATAATCTTCAATCATGTTTTCTTTCCCTGTTTCACTCCAGTAAGTGGAGACTATTTCCCAACCTTAGATTAAAATGTGTGTGTACTTTTGTAGCCTTCATCATTGTCAGAGAAGAGGTTTGAATGTTTGTTTAGGCTCTTTGGTCCAGGGTAACTACCACAACAGTGATGAGTAGCCTCAGAGAGCAGGGTGGGGAAAGCAGGTTAACTGGGTCGGGTCAAGATTGTAGATAGCCATCCGGAACTTGTATAAGAAGATTTGCTCATAAAGCTGGCTATTTTCTGCCTATGACTCTACCTCATGCCTACCCAATCAATAATGTATTATCAAGCATTGCCTCCTTGCCATAACAATGATATTCATCATGGTATATTCAGGAGGAGGAGGAACCAGAGGTAGTCTTCATGATTTAAGGACTTAATGTAACCATTGGGGAAGACCAAATATATTGTATGTTATACATAAGAAGAGTAAACATGGATACAGAATAACTATTTTCAGGATTGTTTTGACAGAACAGAGTGATTTTATTATTTTTTTATTTTTATTTTTTGTTTTTTTTTTTGGTCTGTTGTGGGGCTTGAACTCTGGGCTTGGGCACTGTCCCTGTGCTTTTCAGCTCAAGGCGAGCTCTCTACCGCTTGAGCCACAGCGCCAGTTCCGGTTTTCTAGTGGTTTATTGGAGATAAGAGTCTCATGGACTTTCCTTGCCTGGGCTGGCTTCGAACCATGATCCTCAGATCTCAGCCTCCTGAGTAGCTAGGATTACAGGCATGAGCCACCAGCGCCTGGATGATTTTAGTTTCTTTTGTTTTTTCCAGTCCTGGAGCATGAATTCAGGTCCTAGGCGCTGTCCCTGAGCCTCTTTGTGCTCAAAGTTAGCATTCTACCACTTGAGTCACAGCTCCACTTCTGATTTTCTGGTGGATAAGAGTCTCATGGACTTTTCTGTCCAAGCTGGCTGGTTTTAACTTTTAATAAATAAGCAAATAAAGTTTTACTGTGAATTAGAGTAGGTTTTGTTTAAGCTCTTAGTGTACAGTGTTGCCTCCTTGTCCTTTTTGTTTAGCTAGGAAGAACAAATGCACTGTTTCACAAGCATTGCTGGTGGTAGTTTAAGAGGAGGGCTTTTGGATGGAAGGAAACAAGTTTGAACTGTATTTCTCCTTAGAGCTATATTTTGTTTAGTGAGGTAAAATGCCGCACATCAATATATAAAAATGCTCTGCTCTCTTCTGTTCCTTCCCAGGTTCCTAGATAGAACAGAAGAACTGGCGGTAAGTGTGGCATTTGTTTCAATTGGGGACATGTTAAACAGACATCTAAACCCAGCTTCCATGATTACCAGACAAGTCAAATGATATATTGTTTTATTTTCTTTTTTACATGCTCATTTGGTTGGGTTTATGTGTAAATTTTATTGAAAATGAATGAAAACTAGCTGATCAATTTGTATTTCATTTTTAAAAGTTGTTCTCAAATCAGGTTTGAAGGAACTTTTTGGTTTTAGCATAAACACCAACCAAAACAGTGAAAGTTAAGAGAGTAAGAAATCATTGGGGGCTAGGCAGGTGGCTCAGTGGTAGAGCGCTTGCCTTGCATGCATAAGGCCCTGGGTTCTATTCCTCGGCACCATCTAAGCAAAAAGAAAAAAGCCAGAAGTGGCACTGTGGCTCAAGTGGTAGAGCGCTAACCTTGAACTGAAGAGCTGAGGGACAGCACCCAGGCCCAGAGTTCAGGCCCCACGACTAGACCAAAAAAAAAAAAAAACAGAGTAAGAAATCAGACACATGTTGAAGAGGAAAACAAATCAGGCTTGTGGTGTACCAGAATACATTTTGCTGAGACCTTAGTGGCCAATGTGAAAATTGATTTTTGACTGATTTGTCTTAGACTCAAATGGAGTACAGGAACAAATCTGAAATTTCACCAGAAACATAATTATATTATTAAAACTTTAGTGAAGCATTTTTGTTTTTTAAATATTTACTATTATTTTATCTTTAAGTAGTTGTACAAAGGCATTTTTAATTCAACCTGTCAATTTCCGAGTATGGTGCATTAGAAATTATTATTTACCAAATATTTTATAAAATTTGTATTATATGTTATTTGTTTTTCTTTGTTATATCTGTTTCAAAAAAGACATTCTCCTGCCTAAAGTTATTATATTTTTTTTAAATATCAGTGTGTTTATTTATTTACCAGTTTGGTTTTTACCAAGTTTTTACAAAGTTTTTAATAATTGTATATAAAATCAGATTTCATAATCATCACTAATAGACACTTCTACATGAAGCTTATTAGTCTGTTGTATGCTAAGAACAAATCTTAGGCTTCATGCATGCTAAGCCACATCTCTTCTATACTTGACCTATTCCCCCAGCCCTACATCAAGGTTTTATTGTGTTTTTTGTTTGTTTATTTGTTTTTTTGCCAGTCCTGGGGCTTGAACTCAGGGCCTGGGCACTGTCTCTGAGCTTCTTTTGGTCAAGGCTAGCACTCTACCACTTGAGCCACACCACCATTTCCAGCCTTTTCTGTTTATGTAGCACTGAGGAATAGAACCCAGGGCTTCAAGCATGCTAGGCAAGCACTCTACCACTAAGCCACATTCCCAGCCTGTGTTTTGTTGTGTTTTAATCTCAAAATAGAAGCCACATAAGAAGATTTTTCTTTCAGTTATATGTAGTATTTTAATATGAATAGTTATAGCTATGAAAAATAAGTCAGATTGACATGATATTGTTAAGTGTTAGATATTTATGTACTATCATTAATCGCATACATAATTGAGAATGTCAAAAATAATTTCAGTAAACATTTAGCTCTCTGTAAAAAGCTAAAGCAAAGTAGCTATATTAGTTAAATACTGTAATACTAAAGCCAAACTCAAAAGGTAAATTGAGATTGTGTATCTACTTCTATTGTAGGTTAGCACTATCCATTTGCAATTCCTGTAACGATAGGAATAGTCTACATTTATGCCATCTGATATGTTAGTTATAGCTATGGGGTACTTATGGCTACTGTAACTAAGTACCTTTTTTTTTTTTTTTTTTTTTTGTCGGCGGGGGGCTGAAAAAACACAGGGCCAGGGCCTTTTTTTGGGCCCCCCCCCCCCCTCAAAGCTAGCACTTTACCACTTTGAGCCACTTCCAGTTTTCTGGTGGTTAATTGGAGGTAAGAGTCTCAGGGACTTTCTTGCCTGGGCTGGCTTTGAAACGCCATCCTAAGATCTCAGCTTCCTGAGTAGCCAGCATTACAGATGTGAGCAACCAGCACCTGGCTCTAAATTTTTATTTAATTAAATTTAGTTAACTAAATGTGGATATTGACTGCCTCATTGGAGAGTACAGTTAAGGATAATCCTACCAGTGATTTTTGTATGTGTGTGTATATATGTGTTTATGCATGCACGCGTGCATGCACCAGTCTTGGGGCTTCAACTTAGGGCCTTGGCACTGACCCTGAGCTTTTTTTTGCTCAAGGCTAGTGTTTACCACGTGAGCCACAGCTCCACTTCTGGCTTTTTTGGTGCTTAATTGGAAAAAAGAGTTTCACCAACTTTTCTGCCAAGGCTGGCTTTGAATCACAATCCTCAGATCTCAGGCTTCTGAGTAGCTAGGATTACAGATGTGAGCCACAGATGCCCAGCTCCTATCAGTAATTTTATTTTATTAAAAATTTTTCTACAGTATGTTCACAAATAAAATAAAATTAAATTAAAAAAAATTTTTCTTGTTATTATAAAGTTGATATACAGAGGATTTATAGTGACATGTCAGGTAAAGAGTACATTTCTTTTTGGACAGTGTCACCCTTCCCTTGCTCTCTCCCTTAGTTTTTTTCCTTTCCCATCCCACTTACAAGTTGTATAGTTCATTTTCATCATTGTATCCAGTGAGACTATCAGTGATTTTAAATCACACTTTTCCCTGTTTCTGTCTCAATACACACATGACTAACTACTCCCAGAGGGAATCAGAAAATGAGGAGTCTGGTTGTTTAAAAATCTTATTTAATTTGTTCTCATGTGTGTTTCTCTGTCTCTGGGTCTCTTACTTTGTGGTGCTAGAGATTGAACCATGCTAGGCTAAGGGTCTACCACTAAGTTATATCTCTAGCCCCCTCACTCTCCTAAGGAGACAAGGTAGCTTAAAGCTGTTCTTTTAAAAAATTTTTTTACAGTTATCCCACTATCGAGAGCATTTGAACATTCAGGACTCTGAAAAACGAAAAGAATTTCTGAAGACCTGCATTGGGTATGTATGGGAGAAAATTAATTTTAAGTGTAAATACCTTATGCAGAAGGAATGAAGAAAATAAAGAGGGTGGAATAGATAGAGAGGAAGGGAAAGGCTAACAGTGAATCAGATGCATTGTATGTTTATATTTAATTATGATACTGGTCTCTGAAATCCCTAGAATCTGATGTGTAGTCCAACCTTTTATCTAGAATATAAGTCCTTGTTTTTTTTTAAAGCCCCAACTACTAAACCACCTCTAATGGGGTGATTGTTGGATAGCTTTCATTATTGGACAGTACCTCATTATGTTAAGCTGAAACTTGCTTCTCTGTAATTTTTTAAAAAAGAAGTTAGACATCATTTTTATTTATATCTTGAAGACATCTGTATCTTTTTTTGTTTGTTAGTTTTTTGTCGGTCAGTCGGTCATGGGGCTTGAATCCTGGGCCTGGGTGCTATCTCTGAGCTTTTCAGCTTACAGCAAGTGCTTTAGGACTTGAGCCACAGCTTCACTTTGTTTTATGGTGGTTAATTGGAGATGAGAGTCTCACAGTTCCTGCCTGGGCTGGCTTTGAACTGGGATTCTCAGATCTCAGCCTCCTGAGTAGCTAGGATTATAGGCGTGGGCCACCAGTGCCCAGCTGATCTCTGTATCTTTTAAGATGGATATATAGTCTTCCATTAGTCCTTGCTTCTTTAGGTTTGGTGTTCACAGTTCTTTCAGCCATCTCAAATGTGACGTGATTTTTAGGTTTCATACTTATTTGCTAATGACTATGTAACCTTTAATTTTACGATTAATATAAAGTGAGTATATCATACAGCTCTGGAGAAAAAGGAGAAAAGTTAGGGTCATGAAAAAACTAGGACTTATTGCTGTCTCTTTTTATCACTTACAAAAATTTATCATGATTTACACTTACCTAGGATAGCCTAATTGAATTTCACAGCTCTTCCAGGAAAATAGGGAGCACTTCTAATGGATAGAGTTAGGAACTGAGGGCTTAAAATCTGAGTTTTATTTTTGGCCTTACCTATTGGTGTATCATATGATTTAGGCAAGAACAGTGTCCCTAAATTTCTTCATGATCTTATGATCATAGTTTTGAAGATGAGCTCCTTGATATTTATGTAGATCTTTGCTATCCTTGCTAATCTTCAAACCTACTGCCAGTCTATATCATATTATTTACTTTTTCTCTATAATTAAAAAAAAAAAAACAGCTAACAAGCTGGGCACTGGTAACTCTTATCCGTAATTCTACTACTCAGGAGGCTGAACTCTGGAGGATTACAGTTCAAGGCTAGCCTAGCAGAAAAGTCCACTAGATTCCATCCCCCAAATACCAGCAAAAAACAAGGCTCAAGTATAGAATGCCAGCCCAGAAAGTAGGAGGCCTTGAGTTCAATTCCCAGTACTACCAAAAATAAAAAGGCTAACAACTTTAAGTGCTCCTTAAGTAGAGCTAGTCAATGACAACCACAGAGCTTCTCGGGATGTGGAGGATGGATGGTTGACTGGGTTCACTGGCTAGCTCTGTGATTCCTTTATCAATGTCCACCTTTAGGTTGCTGTAAATGTGAATTCAGATCAGACTTGTGAAACACTATGGACCTCGATGATGATTTGGTTTAGTTGGGTTTGTTTTCCTTTTTGCATAGAGAAAGAGGTACTAACCTTCTGGCCCTCTACCAGTTTGCCATTTTCAGCAGAAGATACTGCACATATACAAGACCATTACACCCTCCTGGAACGTCAGATTATTATTGAGGTTAGACTCCTCCTCTCTAAGTTTTCTACTTCAGTGGCCACACTCAACACCATTGAGCATCCAGGGGACTTTACTCTGCATGTTCTGTTATAGTTTCTGAAGTCCTTCCATTTCCCCTGTATACCACAGGCCGCTGCCTCGGTTGTTCCTTCTCTTCTTACCTGCTGTTAACCTAGAAGTACTTCTTCATCCCAGATCTCTCTTGTCATCACCACTTCTGAAATCTCTTAATCTAGCTTAGATTATCACTTTATGTTTTTCCATGTGTGTAAATGAGGAGGTTGCTTGCTAGGCATGCACTTTACCACTTGAACCATACATCCCAACCTCATTTTACGGATTTTACTACCCTCCTCTTATCCCTAGGGTATCCTAGGCAATTTCTTTCTTTCTCTCTTTTTTGCTTCATCCCTGGATTGGGAAAAACAACTTCTATATTATTAAAGGTCTTTCTCCTTTCTCTGCTCCAGATACTTTTTTTTTTTTAACTTGGCTTAATCCACAGGCAAATGATCGACATTTAGAGGCAGCAGGACAAACTGAGATCTTCCGAAAGCATCCCCGGAAAGCTTCCATCCTCAACATGCCACTAGTGACAACGCTTTTCTACTCCTGCTTCTATCACTACACGGAGGCTGAGGTACAGGAAAAATACAAAAGAAAGAAACACAAGAAGAACATAGTTCCAATTCAGTATCTTTTATTTATTATTTTTATTTTTTATTATGTAGGTAATTGTAGAAAGGAGTTGCCATTTAACAAAGCAGTGTATGAATACACTATATCCTGATCAATGTCACCCTTTCAGAATTCTCACTCAATCCTCCCCTACCCACCTCCTTCCCTTACTCTTCTCAATTTTTTTTTTTTTGGGTCCGGTCGTGGGGCCTGAACTCTGCCTGGGCGCTGTCCCTCAGCTCTTCAGCTCAAGGCGAGCGCTCTACCACTTGAGCCACAGCGCCACTTCCAGCTTTTTTTCTTTTTGCTTATGTGGTGCTGAGGAATTGAACCCAGGGCCTCAGGCATGCAAGGCAAGCACTCTACCACTGAGCCACCTTCCCAGCCCATCTTCTTAATTTTGTAGGATATACATTGGGTTCTTATCTGCATTTTCCCCCTCTTCTCCTATCTATTCACTCCCCCATTACTCAATCCGATATCTTGATAGACTCTATTAACAATGGGTATGTAGTGCCTTCAGAAATCTACCTGGAAGCCAGGTGCTGGTAGCTCAAGCCTGTAATCCTAGCTACTCAGGAGGCTGAGATCTGAGAACTCTTGGTTTGAAGTCAGCCCAGGCACCAAAGTCATGAGACTTTTATCTCTAATAAACTACTCAGGAAAAGCTAAAGTTAGCACTGTGGCTCAAGTGGTAGAGCACTAGGCTTGAGCACAAAGAGGCTCAAGGATAGCGCCCAGGCCCTGAGTTCAAGCCCCAGGACAAGGGGAAAAAAAAGAAAAGAAAAGAAAAAAGAAAAAGAAAAAAATCCTCCTGGAAGCTCTCTTGGCCTCAGCAGGAGTGTGCCCAGAGGGATACAGGGGAACATAAGGGTTTGCGTGGCTGGCTTCAATAGGCTGGCATTCTAGCAAAGTATATCATATACTGTCTCTTGTGCTGACTCTGTGGCAGGCTCTGTTCAAAGGTCCATAGTGTCCAGTGGTTTGCCATGGAGTAGAACGGCATATCAGGTAGCTGTGGGGCCTTTTTTATTTTTAATTTGGAAGTGGACATTGTCCCCTTCTATGAATTACCAGAAAATTTGAAAACCACCTTATTAATTCAATTCCTGATCAACTGGATTCTGTTGATATCCCCCTAGAGTCATGGAATTTTTCTCATAAGCGAATTTCTGAGTCATAATGGTTAGAATGAGATGTAGAAAGTTCGTGTGGTAGAAAAGAACATGGGAGAGTGAGTGCCCTCACTGACGTTCCTTCTCCTCTTGCATCCTAGGGGACATTCAGCAGTCCCATCAACCTGAAGAAGACATTTAAGGTAGGTAGATAGTGATCAGTATTTTGTAAAGTAGAATAACTACATGGAGTGGCTGTTGGCTTTGTGGAAGTGAGGGAAGACCTGAACTGAATGCCGTGCAGCAGGGCTGGATGACCTGAGAAGTTTATTAATTTTTAAGGGGCAAAATTGATGCCAGAGAATACATATTCTTTTTAAAAAAATTATCAAGCCACCTCTTTTGGGACATACCTACTTCCTCTTAATTTTTTCTGTTTCTGTCTTCTAGATCCCCGACAAGCAGTATGTGCTGACAGCCCTGGCTGCCCGTGCCAAGCTCCGAGCCTGGCATGATGTTGATGCCCTCTTCACCACGAAGGTGGGTGCCCTGGAACTAATTTGGGTTGCTGAGCCTGGGAGAAAGGAGGGTCTAAGTTATAGTTACTAACATTTTTTTCCTCCAACCTTTAAATTCTCCAAATTTTAAACCTAAAGAAAACTTGAAAGATGATTATAGTGACCACTAATAGTCTCTTCCTACTTCACAAATTTATTAACATTTCTGCCATATTATTTAGCTTTCTCTTTTTCTATATCATGCATTTTTTTCTGAACCATTGGAATGAACTGCAAATCTGACGTTTCCTTTAAGTACATAATCATCTGTCTTCTTTTTAAGCACATTGTTCTTAATATGATTGGTGCAATATCATCACTTGTATTTGCCAAATATATATTTCAGAAATATAGTCAGTATTTAAATTAGCTCTTGACAATTGTTTTTTTTGTGTGTGTGCTTGCTATTGAGATCCAGTCAAGGATCTTACATTGTATTTGGTTTATGGTTTTTAAATAATTATTAGATACATTTTAAGGTGTACAATATATATATATATATATTTTGGGGGGGTGGGCGGTCCGGTCGTGGGGCCTGAACTCTGGGCCTGGGCGCTGTCCCTCACCTCTTCAGCTCAAGGCTAGCGCTCTACCACTTGAGCCACAGTGCCACTTCCGCCTCTTTCTGTTCATGTGTTGCTGAAGAATCAAACACAGGGCCTCATGCATACAAGGCAGGCACTCTATCACTGAACCACCTTCCCAGCCCTTGTATTTTCTTTTGACTAGCAATGTTAATCATTCTTATGTTCTCTTTGGGTTATTTATTTATCTGCTATAAAATTTAGATATTGACTATCAGAAATTCAGCTTATAACATTTTCTCCTGATTCACAGGTTTTAATTGTTTGCTTTGCTCACAGTCTTTGTATTTCTTTTAGTTTAAAATATTCCTACTTACCTTTGCTCTTAAAGCCTGAGTTTTTAGTGGGATACTCAAAAATCCATTGCCAAGGCCAATATCAAGAGCCTTTTCTCCTATGAGCTCTTTTAGAAATTTCTGCTTTCAGGTCTTATGGTTAGATCTTTCATTTATGTTTTGTATAGTATAAATAAGATATCGAATTTCATTCTTTTATATTTAGAAATGTAAAATGCAGTTTTCTCAACACTTTTTATTTTTTATTTTGTCGGTTGTGGGGCCTGAACTCTGGGCCTGGACGCTGTCCCTTAGCTTTTTACCTCAAGGCTAGCACTCTACCACTTGCACCACAGTGCCATTTCCGGTTTTTTTCTGGTGGTTTACTGGCTGGCTTTGAACTGAGATCCTCAGATCTCAGACTCCTTAGTAGTTAGGATTATGGGTATGAGCCACCAGCACCTGGCTAGCACTGGTTTTTGAAGACACTATTGACACTATCCTTTCTCCCACTGTGTTTCCTTGATGTCCATATTAAGTTGTGCCGATATTGAGCATGTGTGCTTGGGTTTATTTTTAGGCTTGTCTTCCTGTTAGTAGTATTCTATGAGTTTATTTTTGTTTGTTTGTTTGTTTGGAGTTTGGTCATGGGGCCTGAACTCTGGGCCTGGTTGCTGTCCCTCAGCTCTTCAGCTCAAGGCTAGTGCTCTATCACTTGAGCCACAGCACCACTTCCGGCTTTTTTCTTTCTTTTTTTTTGTCTGGTCGTGGGGCCTGAACTCTGGGCCTGGACACTGTCCCTCAGCTCTTCAGCTCAAGGCTAGCGTTCTACCAACTGAGCCACAGCGCCACTTCTGGCTTTTTGCTTTTTGCTTATGTGGTGCTGAGGAATCGAACCCAGGGCCTCATGCATGCAAGGCAAGCGCTCTACCACTGAGCCACCTTCCCAGCCCAGCGGCTTTTTTCTTTTTGCTTATGTGGTACTGAGCAATCGAACCCAGGGCCTCAGGCATGCAAGGCAAGCGCTCTACCACTGAGCCACCTTCCCAGCCCCTATGAGGTTTATTTTTAATGCCAGGAGTATACTGTTTTTATTACTAAAACTTTGTAATATAATTTGAAATCAGGGTATGTCCTACCTCTAATTTCTCTTTCTCAGAATTGCTTTAGCCATTTGGGGTCATTTATGGTTTTATAAAATTGGTTTACATTTTGAATTTCAAGATTTTCATTATGGGTTTGAAAAATTTTTTGTTTTCCTTCTTTTTAATAAGTCCCATTAACTTCCAATCAAAATACCTATATAAAAACCAAACACTGTACAAAAGTATAAGTACAAAAAATGAAGAAGGCTGGGGATATTGCTCAGTGGCACAGAGCATGCCTACCATGGGAGGCCTTGAGTTTAATTCCTGGCATTCAAATTTTTTAAAAGGGGATCCTTTCTCATCATCTTCTTTGTTTTTTTTTGGGGGGGTCTGGTCGTGGGGCCTGAACTCTGGGCCTGGGCACTGTCCTTCAGCTCTTCAGCTCAAGGCTAGCGCTCTACCACTTGAGCCACAGCGCCACTTCCAGCTTTTTTCTTTTTGCTTATGTGGTACTGAGGAATCGAATCCAGGGCCTCAGGCATGCAAGGCAAGCGCTGTACCACTGAGTCACCTTCCCCGCCCATCTCATCATCTTCTTACTCCTTGCTTACTCCGTGAAGCCAAACACTATTAGTGCCATATAACTGTAATCCTAGTGCTGAAGATCCTAGTTTAAAGCCAGCCCAGGCAGGAAAGTTAGTGAGACTGTTGACTGATGAAAAAAAAGCCAGAAGTGGAGTAGTGGTTCACATGGTAGAGAGCTAGCCTTGAGCAAAACAAAGCAAAACAAAAAAGGGACAACTCCCTGGCCAAGGACCAGGACAAAAGAAAAGTCTGAGCATGTAATACTTAGCTACTCAGGAGGCTGAAATCTCAGATCACCATTCAAAGCCAGCCTGGGCAAAAAAGTCTGTGAGATTTTTTTTTTGAGGATCTTTTTTGATAATTTAATAAGCAAAAACACATCAAGTTAATCTGTATTCCAAGTCTGTTATAACTACACTTCCATGTCAAGCATTCTGTTCCTCAGTCTTCCTTTCATCTTAACCTTGTGGGTTAATTTTTTTGTTGTTCTTAATATATATTTTTTATTGTAAAGATACTGTACAAAGGGGTTACAGTTACATGAGCAAGGTAATGAGTCTGTTTCCTATCAAGCATTGTTACATCCTCCTTTGTTTTTCCCCTACCATCCCTTCCCTCCCCACCTCCCCAACTCCTCCATCTTCCCTACCCCAGCAAAGTTGTAAAGTTCGTTTTCAACATACTGTCTTGTACATCTCATTATTACAATGGGTCATCCTGTATCCTTATTTCAGCATTTTGTTATTTCCCTTCCCCTCCCCAAATTAGAAAAACGTATATACAAGATGCAGGACACTGGGATCAAATAAACAAAAAAAAAAAATCACATAGTACATTACAAGTACATTAAAAAGAACTGCAACAAAGATTCTTATCTCTAAGTAAGCATCCAAAAGGCAGGAGGTGGACCTGTGGCTCAAGTGGTAAAGTGCTCTTCAGCGAAAAATCTTAGGGACAACATCTAGTCCCTAAGTTCAAGCCTGAGGACTGGTGTGTGCGCATGCATGTACATGCACACATGCGTGCACACACACACACACAGTGTGATCACTAGCTTTCTAGACCTTCAGGAATTTACAAATGAATATTTATGTATACATGTAAAATATAGATATTAGGATTTTGAACACCAAGCAAGTCCTACTACAAATATTGTTGATTTTTTGAGAGAGGTAGAGAATAGTACTAGAGATTAAAGCCAGGGCCTTCCCTGTATATGCTAGGCAAACTTCCTACCCTTCAGCTATATGCATGGCCTTTTTGTTTTGGGGACAGGGTCTTTTTGTTACTTCTGGCTGGCTGTCCTTAAACTGAAAATCCTCTTTCCTCCACATCCTGAGTAACTAGGATTATATATGTATACCAGCTTTAAATCACTTGTTCTCTATTGCTGTTTCACTGACTTTATTTTGGTATTTTTGTTGATAGATCCAAGAACTTGTTTTCTGTTTTAACTTTTCTGCCTATGTTATTCTGGTCTGACCGTAAAACACAGGGAGAGCTCAGAGTGTGTTGACAATATTCACCATATACTGCTGCTCTGTCTTTTTGCAGAACTGGCTCGGTTACACCAAAAAGAGGGCACCCATTGGCTTCCATCGAGTTGTGGAAATTTTACACAAGAACAGTGCCCCTGTTCAGGTAATGATTCTGAACAAGAGTTAGGTACATAAAACCCTAGGAGACCTAACTTTTAGCTGCTTTTTGTTTAGTGATACAAATTTGACCTATTCTGGTATTTCCTAATGACAGTACAATGCTGGGTCTTGAGACAGGAATGTCCAGGATGGGATACTCTCTTTCCTTTAGAAGTAATAACAGAATGCCATCTCTGAGGAGCCATGTGGAGACTGATGTACTATTTTTATTTTTATTTATTTTATTTTTGGGGGTGGGGTGGGAAGGGTTGTGGGGCTTGAACTCTGGGCCTGGGCACTGTCCCTCAGCTCTTCAGCTCAAGGCTAGCGCTCTACCACTTGAGCCACAGTGCCACTTCCGGCTTTTTTCTTTTTGCTTATGTGGTGCTGAGGAATCGAACCCAGGGCCTCAAGCATGCAAGGCAAGCAAGCACTTTACCACTGAGCCACCTTCCCAGCCCTGATGCTCTGATCAGTAAGCCAAGCAGATAGAAAAAACTACTGGATCTATAAAACAAATATTACAGGTTTAGAATATTCAGACTGCATTATCCTGTCTTCTGGGGATGGATGTGACTTACTGTTGGAAATAAATAGATGGCAAAACCAGAATAAATGCCCTAAATCAGGCATTCTGTAAAATACAGAATAGGTATTTTATCGATCTCTGAGCAAATCAAAATTCCCTATATAGTAAAAATAAATAAATAATCAGGCTGGTTACAGTGATATATGGAAGATTTGGAGAATCGTGGTTAAGGCCAGCCTGGGAAAAACTTAAGAGTGACTCTACCTCCGTCAGGGAACAATCCAGGTGTGTCCCTGTCATCCATCCCAGCTCTGTGAGAGGCATAAGTAAGAAGAGAGTAGTCCAAGGTCAGCCCCAAGCAAAAGTTTAAGACCATACCCAAGAAAGCAAAAGACAAAAAAGGCTGGATGTAGCCAGGAGCTGGTGGCTCATACCTATAATCCTAGCTACTCAAGAAGTAGAACTGTGATTTGTAGAGCACTAGTCCTGAGCAAAAAAGCTTAGTGATAGCACCCAGGCCCTAAGTTCAATCCACAAGACTTACCAAAAAAAAAAAAAAGGTCATTATGTAGGTCAAGTAGTAGAGCTCCTACCTAACAAGCCTAAGGCCTTGAATTAAAACCCCAGTACTGCCAAGAAATAAAAAGAAAAGGGAAAGGAAGGAAGGAACTTAGAAGGGGAAGAAGGAAAAAGAGATTTTCAGTACTTCCCCATTCTGATCTTTTGTTTCTCTTTTTATCACATTACCTAGCTGTGAGCCTTGATTTATCTCATTCCTGCTACCTCTGCAGGGAAACGTGAAGACTCCTCATGCCTTCATTGTTTGCTCTTTCCACAGCAAATTCGATGGAAGAATTAAGTGGTCTTGGCTTCATTGAAACTCACCTCAGTTCTTCCTGTCCTGCCTGTGAAAGTACAAACAACATCACACCCACTTGGACCCTTTATCAACAGGCAATACTTGCTGCTCTTGAGACAGAAACCAGCACCTGGGCACAGGTAGCTTCCGACTGATCTCTCCAAGGACATCATATAAGAGCCAGTTCCTAACATTCTGATCCATGAGAAAAACACTCCACCAGGTGCTTTTGTGAAGGTGGGAGCCCATAGTGGGTAAGATCTTTCTTGGTCTGAGAAAAGTGACTGCTCTAGAAAGGATGTCTCATAGACTTTAGAGTACAAAAGGAGCCACAGGGTGGCCACTTCATTCCTCTCAGCTAATTATGATCCAGGACCTGGTGCTGGACATTGGCAGTTATGCTCTGAAGGAAGTTGGAACAGAACCAAAATGACTGTCTTCCGAGGGCCTAAGGAAGGCATGCCAGAATTGCTCAGCACTACTGGAGACAGATCCAAATCAGACTGCCGAGAGCCTTTGCGTGATGATGGGCACTGCCTAGATGTTGTGTTTCTTCAGCCAATATCTGTCTACTGCTCCAGTCTATTTTGTTCAGAAAGTCAGAGAGCCCCTTTCACCTGCATACGGAGATGACCTGGGCATGAGATAGCCCATATCTCTCTACTCCTATCTCAGACCCCTACTCTTATATAGAGCTCAGGTTTAGCAGTGCTGGAGCGCTCTTTCTTTAGGCAAAAATCTCATTCACCAGAAGCATTCAGAAGTTTCTCCTGAACTGAAGTTGGTGACACTTTCCACTAGGATGTTCCCATGCTGACTGAAAAGGATATTCTGTATTGCTAATCTGCCCTGTATCCCTATCAGCCTCTCTTCTGTGACTGAACAGTTTTCTTGACATACTTAGACTCCTAATAAAGCTGTTTCATCCTTGGTGCCTTCTCTTCCCCACTTGGTTGTATTGTGTAGTTGTCTGCATCTGTGATTGCTTTCATGGCCTGTCAGCTGAGATCAGGAAGATTGCAGTTTGAGGCTAGCCCAGGCAGAAAAGTTCACAGGACTCTTTCTAACCTATAACTAGATGCGTGCACCTGACATCCTAAGCTATATGGGAGGCTGAGATTGGGAGGATTGCAGTTCCCAGATAGCCCAGTCTGCAAGACTCAATCTCCATTGAGGGAAACTGGACAAGGTGGTGCTTGCCTGTGATCCCAGCAATGACAGCAAGCCTAAAGTAGGCAGATCTGTGGTCATGTATGTGCCTGGTGGGAAGCAACACCCTGTCTCAAAGTTTCTCTCAAAGCAGCAGCTTTCTTCAAGCCTGCTAACAGTTCTACTCTGCAACATTATATTAGTTTGCCACTTGTCTAATGGGAATCATAAAAGTGAGGGCAGGCATCTATTTGTAAGATATTGATTTTTCCCTTCTTGTATATATGCTCAGACATAATTGTGATGGTCTTTTAAAAATATAGAAAATAGAAAATACATTAAATAGACTGACAAGCCTCTAAACTAAGTACACAGTGAAAAACAGGACTAGAGGTGTTGTTCAGTGGTAGAGTACCTGTTTAGCAAGCATGAGACTCTGAATTCAAACCCTAATACCACACAGGCACAAATGGACTTCTTGATCACCAAATAAAAGGATTGGGAAAATTAAATAGTGCTAAAGATGAGGCATAGAGTTCATTATAGTAGAGCATTTGCTGAATCCCTGGATTCAGTTCTCAGCACTATATACATAAACACAAAACAGAAACAACTGATTTTTTTTGGTGGTACTAGGGTTTGAATTCAGCTCATGCTTGCTAGACAGGCCCTTTTACCACTTAAGCCATATCACTAAGCAAAAACGCAACTTTTCATCCTACCCATGCCTGAGCCAGAAGGATCCCAAGTCCAACCTGGACAACTTAGTGAGACATCAAAAACGAACAGGGCTGAGGATTATCTTGGGGGTAGAGTGCTTACCTAGTACGCACAAGGTCCTGGGTTAATTTTTAGTAATACGCACACACACACAGAAGAAAAAAGAATCAAATTTGTGTGATATTCTAGATAGAAAAAATAGAAGTCCAGCATCCGCTGTTGGGAAGATACTGGCTTGGTATAGTATAATACTTATATCCTCGTGTTCAGATCACAAAAATTGTTGGCAGGGCTGGCCCCTTTAAGACTCAGAGTCTGAAGTGATCTAGTAGCTAGAGTCATAATGACAATACTCTTGAGTAATTGTTAGAAATGTAGTCCTTACCTGTCTGGACCAGACTTTCTAAGGAACAGAGCCTATCTCAGTTTGGTTGGTGAGACTGTATGTAGATGGGGTTTATACACCTTAAAAATCTGCATGTTCCTACTCTAATTAAGTGACTAGTGATATTTATTTGGGGCTCTTCTGTCTTGAGGGGAGTACAGAAGGGTAATTTTATTGAAATGATGTTTTATGTATTCAGGGTATAATTTTACTTAAAATTTTTTTTTGATAATTTCATTGATATGAGGTTTTTTGTATTCCTATTTGTAAATTTTAGAGAATGGAAGGGAAAAGAGACTGGCCCAGTAACACCTTTGAAGCCTATTGTTAGTATAAATTCATCTGCTGAAAATAATGTCTGTGGCCTAAATAGAGATATTACTTTGGGCCTGTGTTCAGGTTTTTCATGAATCCAAGATTCATGGGCAGTCAGCGATGTGGACTTGAGATGCAAACAGATACAAACTTGAAAATCTGGAAGCAGAGTGGTAGTGCAGCCCACCAGTATGTGGGCTATGCATATACAGCATCACACATAAGCCCTTCTGCATAGATCATTCTTTGTTCTTCTAAGGAAAGGAGCCAAACTGACTGGTATCTGTCACTGCAGGAGATGCTGTTTTGGAAATGGACATACTAGTGGACCTTGAAACCCTAAATTTTGAGTCTGGGATTCCAGAGGAAGAACGTTTCTGGCTGTATTTGCATAGCCGTTCTCGGGGACTGATAATTGAGGCCTGTGCTCATGCAATCTTCCTCTGCAAACTATTACGTCAGTTGAGGTAAGCTAGGTCTTCAAGTTCAGGGAGATGACAAGAATCTCATTGCTGAGGACCTAAGTGACTTAACCCTTTTTATACTGGAGGATAAATTTGTCAGGAGAATTGTGTTCCTACCTTTCCAACCCAGAGTGAATGCTCCTGGGTAAAGGGACCAGCAAAATTACACAAACGTCTCTTAGCCTTCACTGAAACATAGATTAGTAATGATTTTCTTTTCTTTTGGAGGGGGGCCTGAACTCTGGGCCTGGGCGCTGTCTCTCAGCTCTTCAGTTCAAAGCTAGGGCTCTAGCTATCACTAGAGCCACAGCACCACTTCGGCTTTTTCTGCTTATGTGGTGCTGAGGAATTGAACCCAGGGCCTCATGCATGCGAGGCAAGCACTGTACCACTGAGCCACCTTCCCACCTACCACTGAGCCTAGTAATGATTTTCTTTAAGTAGGTGTACTGATTAAGTGATCATTTATTTAGTTATTCATGCATTAGGACTACAAGCTTATGTAACGACAATATATCTCTAATCTATTGGGTCAGTTTCTGGCAGGCATTGATGGCCTTTAATCACAGATACTAAGGTGTCTGAGATCTGAGACCATGGTTCAAAGCCAGCCCATGCAGGAGAGGCTAAAGGATTCAAATCTTCATTTAACCACTAAAAACCCAGAAACAGAAGTGTGGTTTAGGTGGTAGAAAACTAGCTTTGAGCAAAACAGCTTAAGGACAGCACCCATGCCCTGAGTTCAAGCCTCAGGATCAGCACACAAAAAAGTTACTTTTCTCCTTTCCCATATCACTTAACATACACAAGCACACACATGAATGCATGTGTGCATGCATGCATTTCTTTCTTTTAGGCCTACCTAACAGTGGGCTGCTCCATAGGAATAAAAGCTATCTGGAACATAAATCCAGAGACTATTGCTAACCCTGAAGCCAAATGACTTGACTGAAACTAGGAATACTAATTTACAGATAGGTTCTTAGTCTAATCTTGGTATCTTATGTCACACTATGATGTAGTTTCAACACTTAAATGGATGTATGTGATCTATGTACCTTGAATTAGGCTTATGGATTTGTAACTTAAGATCTGTCCTAGAATATGTCATATTCTCAGTTTATCTTTCTCTGAAATTTGATTAACTTAGGTTGTAGGACCAGATTGGAATTGACCATACTTATAGGTACACCTATACCCAAGAATGCAGTCTACTTAATAGTTTGCTGATTTATTTAATGATTAGGAGGTATATATATTGGTTGTAGCCTAGATGACTAATGAGAAACCCTCATGTGAAACTTCCAGGAGGCATTTTATATTTAGGAGGATCAAGCACTAAAAGAAAGTGTTTTCTTTTCTTTTTTTTTCTTGCCAGTCTTGGGACTTGAACTCAGGGCCTGGGAACTCTCCCTGAGCTTCTTTTTGCTCAAGGCTAGCACTCTACCATTACAGCCATAGTGCCACTTCCAGCTTTTTCCATTTATGTGGAATGGAACTAGGGCTTATGCTTGCTAGGCAAGCACTCTACCACTAAGCCACATTCCCACCCTTTGTGTTTTCTTTTCAACCAGGAAAGAAACTTGTGACACCAGAGAACAAGAGATCATAGGCTCCTACAAAAGATAAGGGCAAACTCCACAAGGGAATTTATAAATACAAGCCTAGGGAAGACACATGCAGAAAAAGTTGGAGAGGGCACTCTAATCTCCAGCTGAGCTGACTTGTGAAGTCCTTTCCCCATACAAAGCCAGTAAATAAAGATTTGTAGAAACATAGGCCAGAAGAGGGTTAGTTGGTTGGGTTGCTCTTGTTTTACTGGTACTAGGAATTGAACTCAGAGCCTGATGCTTTAGCAGCTGCTTTTAGCTTGTTTTTCAGATACAATCTTACACACTCACTTTAGCTGGGCTAACCTGGAACTGTGACCCTCCTACCTCTACACCTGAGTAACTGGAATTGCACGTGTGTATCACCACATCTGGCCAGGGAGTGGTTGGTTATATTCAAGTGCTGAAGAAAAACTGCCATATATGCCAAAACCACCTTGAAAAAAAAATCAAGAAGAGAAACAAAACAAAAAACAAAAATAAAAAGGAAAATGACCTACTCAGATAAAAACCAAGAGCTTTTTTTTTTTTTAATTTGGCTTCTGACAAATGCTAAAAAGAGATCTTAAAATAATGGACTGAGGACTGGGAAGTTGGCTCAGTGGTACAGCGCTTGCCTCACATGCCTGAGGCCCTGGGTTCAATTCCTCAGCACCACATAAGCAAAAAGAAAAAAAGCCAGAAGTGGCGCTGTGGCTCAAGTGGTAAAGCTCTAGCCTTGAGCTGAAGAGCTAAGGGGCAGCGCCCAGGCCCAGAATTCAGGTCCCATGACCGGACCCAAAAATAAATAAATAAATAAAATGAAAGCAGGTGCTGATGGCTCATGCCTGTAATCCTAGCTACCCAGGAGGTTGAGATGTAGGGATTGTGGTTCAAAGCTAGCCTGGGGAGGAAAGTCAGTGAGATACTTAACCTGCAGTTAACCACCAAAAATACCAAAAGTGAAGCTGTGGTTCAAGTGGTAGAGCAGTAACCTTGAGCAAAAATGCTTAGGGACAGCTCTGAGACCCTGAATTCAACCTAGGACTAGTACACACGTAAACAAACTGAAACAATGTTAGATAGCAATGAAAATATACAAAATATAAATAGAGTTATAGGTAAATCTACACTATAAAGAGTGGAGAATGACTCATTTTAAACTCTATTTTAAAAGATAAAATATGAAAAATAACTATAAAACCATTAATAGGTATAAATACAAAAATATGTGATATATGACATCAATAATGGGTGGGAGATGTAAAGGAATAGAGTTCTTCTGTGTGATTGAGATAAGGCTATAAATAAATAAAGTTTAAGATAGGTAACTATAGCCATAAGATTTTTTAATGTTCCCTATGATAACCATAAAGAAAATAATTATGGAAAAATACTAATAAAAATATAAGGGGATCAGAACTCAGGAAGTTGAGATCTGAGGATTGTGTTTGAAGCCAGCTTGGGCAGAAGAGTCTGTGAGACTTATCTCCAATTAACCACCAGAAAACTGCAAGTGTCATTGTGGCTCAAAGTAGCAGAACATCTATCTATATTTCTTTTTTGGTCAGGCATAGGACTTGAACTCAGTGCCTAATCACTGTCCCTGAGCTCTTTCGTTCAAGGCTAGTGCTCTACCACTACATCTATATCTATATATATATCTACGTCTCTATCCATCCATCTATCTTACTGGACCAAACATCAAAGAACACCACCAACACATAAAGGAAGATAGCTAGAGAACAAAAGAAAGTACAACTACAAGACGTATAGAAAGCAATAAACAAATAGGCAAAAGTAACTCCTTCCTGACAATTACTTTATTATTAAAAAATTATTGCCGGAGGCTGGGAAGGTGGCTCAGTGGTAGAGTGCTTGCCTTGCATGCATGAGACCCTGGGTTTGATTCCTCAGTACCACATAAGCAGAAAAAGCTAGGAGTGGCGCTGTGGTTCAAGTGGTAGAGCGCTAGCCTTGAGCTGAAGAGCTGAGGGACAGCGCCTAGGCCCAGAGTTCAGGCCCCACAGCCAAAAAACAAACAAAAATTATTGCCAGGCACCAGTGGCTCATGTCTATAATCCTAGCTACTCAAGAGGCTGAGATCTAAGGATCACAGTTCAAAGCCAGCCTGGGCAAGAAAGTCCATGAGACTCTTATCTCCAATAAACCACTACAAAACCGGAAGTGTCACTGTGGCTCAAGCAGTTGAGCACTTGTCTTGAGCTAGAGAGCTGAGGGATAGTGCCCAAGCCCAGAGTTCAAGCCCTAGGATCGGAAAAAACAAAAATTATTTGGCCAGGCGCCATTGGCTCATACCTATAATCCTAGCTACTCAGGAAGCTGAGATCTGACCATCACAATTCAAAGCTAGCCCAAGCAGAAAAGTCTGCGAGACTCTTAACTCCAGTAAACTACTTAGAAAAAGCCACAAGTGGCGCTGTGGCTCTAGTGGTAGAGTGCTAGCCTTGAGTACAAAGAGGCTCAGGGATAGCACCCAGGCCCTGCCAGGACCAGCAAAACAAAACAAAAATGAAAATGAGAGCTGGGAATGTGGCTTATTGTAGAGTGCTTTCCTAGCATGCATGAAGCCCTGGATTCCATTCCGTAGTACCATATAAAGAGAAAAAGCAGGAAGTAGTGCTGCTGCTCAAGTGGTAGAGTGCTAGCCTTGGCAGGGACAGCGCCCAGCCCCATGACCAACCCAAAAAAAATGCAAACGATTAATTTCCCTAATCAAAACACAGAATGGCTGACTGTATTAAAAAATCCAATTATAGGGCTGGGAAGGTGGTTCAGTGGTAGAGCGCTTGCCTTGCATGCATGAGGCCCTGGGTTCGATTCCTCAGAACCACATAAGAAAAAAGCCGGAAGTGGCACTGTGGCTCAAGTGGTAGAGCGCTAGCCTTGAGCTGAAGAGCTGAGGGACAGCGCCCAGGCCCAGAGTTCAGGCCCCACAACCAGACCAAAAAAAATAATTAATTAAAAAATCCAATTATGGGGGGGATTGGGGGGAGGATGGAATGGGAAGGGGAAACAAAGGAGGAGGCTACAATGCTTGAGAAGAAATGTATTCTGGGGCTAGGAAGGTGGCTCAGTGGTAGAGCGCTTGCCTTGCATGCTTGAGGCCCTGGGTTCGATTCCTCAGCACCACATAAGCAAAAAGAAAAAAGCCAGAAGTGTCACTGTGGCTCAAGTGGTAGAGTGCTAGCCTTGAGCTAAAGAGCTGAGGGATAGCGCCTTAGGCCCAAAGTTCAGGCCCCACAACCAGACCCCCCCCCCAAAAAAAGAAATGTACTCATCTTGCCCATGTAATTGTAACCCCTCTGTACAGTATTTTCACAATAAATTAAAAAAATCCAATTATATACTGTCTACTAGGGACTCAGTTTAGATCTAAGGACGACTAAAAAAGGATAGGAAAAGATATTTCATGCAAATGGCAAGCAAAAGAGAGCAGGAGGTATGTTTCATACTTGTTTCATGTAACACTTGAAGATAAAAACTGCCATAAATAGTGATATAAAAGTAATGATTATTTTGTCAGTAAGGTATAACATATATGCTCTTAATATTACTGAATTATAGGAAGCAAATATTGATCAAATTGAATATACTCAATAATAATTAATTCAACATTTGAATAGACTGTTAGGAGGTGTGGTCTGGTGGGAGAAGGGCACTGGGGGACATGTCTTTGAAGGTCATCTCTTACCCTGTCCTTTCCTCATTTCTCTCTGATTCCTGATCACCATGAGGTCAAGAATGTCCTCCAAGGGGCTGGGAAGTTGGCTCAGTAGTAGAGTGCTTGCCTCGCATGCATAAGGACCTGGGTTTGATTCCTCAGCACCATATGAGCAAAAATTGCCCGAAGTGGCACTGTGGCTCAAGTGGTAGGGTGCTAGACTTGAGCTGAAGAGCTGAGGGGCAGTGCCCAGGCCTAGAATTCAGGCCCACAACCAGCAAACAAAACAAAACAAAACTGTATCCTCCAGGTACAAACCTTGCTATGATGTTTAGTTCTGCCACTGGCCCAAAGTAATGGAATCATACAACAGTGAATCTGCAACAGTGAGCCAAAATAAATCCTGCCTTACTTTTGTAAAACAGACAAACAACTCCCCCTTCCCAGCATTTTGTCACAGCACACAAAAATAATAAAATGATCAAGTAGACTAGAATCCTAAAATGCAAGGATGGTTCAACTTAGAAAATCAATCAATGTAATAATATGTTACATTAATAAAACAAAAGAGAGAAATCACATTTCAGTTAAAGTATAAAAAGCATTTGACAAGCTGAATACTGGTCACTTATGCTTGTTATTCTAGCTACTCTGGAGATGGCAGTTTGAAGCCATCCCAGACAGGAATATATCTGTGAGGCTTTTATCGCCAATTAAACTCTCCCACTTCCCCCCCACCCCAAGCCAAAAAAAGCCAGAAGTGGAGCTGTGGTTCACATAGTAGAGACTAGCCTTCAGTAAAAAATTAGCTCACGATAGCACCAAGGCCCTGAATTTAAGCCCTAGGACCAGCACACACACACCACACACACATACACACACACACACACACACACACACACACACACACACACACACGCACACAGTATTTGACAAAAGTCAAACTGTCTCTTATGATGAGAACACTCAACAAACTAGGAATAATGGGAAATTACCTCACTAGAATAAAGGCATAAATAAAAAGTTCAAATTAACATCACACTCAGTGGTGAAAAACTGAAAGCTTCACACCAGGCACCAGTGGCTCACGCCTGTGATCCTAGCTACTTAGGAGGCTGAGATCTGAGGACTGTGGTTCAGAGCCAGCCCAGGCAGGAAAGTCCGTGAGACAATAAACAACCACAAAATTGGAAGTGGCACTGTGGCTCAAGTGGTAGAGCGCGCTCGTTGAGCTGAAGAGCTGAGGGACAGTGCCCAGGCCAAGAGTTCAAGCCCCATGACTGGAAAAAAAAACACACCCAAAACTGAAAGTTTCCATTCAACTCAGTACTTAAACTCAGCAATTAAACAAGACAAAAAATAAATACTCCAAACTGAAAAAGGAATAGTGAATAGCCAATGATCTCTTCTCACAATGAAATGATGTTATATATAGAAACCCTAAAGACTACACAAAAATTAGAACTGGAAAACATTCATCCAACCTGAAACATTCATCCATAGGACACTGGCATTCAAAAACAGTTGGACCTATGTATTCAACAATGAATTGTCTGAAAACAAATCCAGCTGGGGGGGTAGCTTAGTGGTAGATGCATGCTTGAAAGATGAGTGGAGAAAGGAGGAGAAGGAAAGAGATTTTTATTTCATTTTAGTATCAAACAACAAAATTCGTAGTAATAAAATTAATCAAGGCAATGAAAGATGTGCACTGACAACTACAAAAAAATTAAGAAGACAGAAATGAATGGAAAGACATCTCCTGTTGATGGATTAGAAAACTTAATGTTAAAATGTTCATACTAGCTGGGAGCCGGTAGCTTACACCTGTAATCCTAGCTACTCAGTAGGCTGAGATGTGAGGATCATGGTTTAGAGCCAACTATGAGACTTTTATCTCCAATTAACCACCAGAAAACCAGAAATGGCTTTGTGGCTCAAGTGGTAGAGTGCTCACCTTGAGCTAAAGAGCTGAGGGACAGTAGTACCCAGACCCAGAGATTCAAGCCCCATGACCGACAAAAAAAAAAAAAGGTTCAGACTACCCAAATAGGTCTACAGATTCAATGTCATCTTTACAAAAATCCAAAAATTCATATGGGGTCTGTATTCTATAAGAATAGCCAAAGCAGGGGCTGGGAAGGTGGCTCAGTTGTAGAGTGCTTGCCTTGCATGCATGAGGCCCTGGGTTTGATTCCTCAGCACCACATAAGCAGAAAAAGCCGGAAGTAGCGCTGTGGCTCAGGTGGTAGAGCACTAGCCCTGAGCAAGAAAGCAGCTCAGGGACAATGCCCAGGCCCTGAGTCCAAGCCCCAGGAGTAGCAAATTACAATAAAAATTTAAAAAAATGTATTAAAAAAAAAGAATAGCCAAAGCAATCTTTTTTGTTGTTGTTGTTAGTTGTGGGGCTTCATCTCTGGGCCTGGGCACTGTCCTTCACCTCTTCAGCTCAAAGCTAGTGCTCTACCACTTGAGCCACTGCACCACTTCTGGTTTTCTGAATGGTTTATTGGAGATAAGAGTCTCATGGACTTTTCCTGCATGGGCTGGCTTTGAACCATGATCATCAGATCTCAGCTCCTGAGTAGCTAGGATTACAGGCATGAGCTACCAGTTCCCAGCAGCCAAGGCAATCTTGAGAAAGAAAAACATGGAGGTCTCATACTTCATTTCCAAGCATAAAACCAAGCTTGGTACTTTTATAAATATGGCTATATAAACCAATGAAAGAATAAAGAAAATCAGACCTTTACATATATAGTTAAATGATTTTCAACAAGGATGGTAAAGCTGTACAATAAAGGATAATTTTTTCAACAAGCTTTGGGAAAACTACATACAAACTACATGCAAACATTAACTCAAAATGGATTAAAGATGTAGGACTGTAAAGTTCTAGAGAGAAACATGGGGGGAAGCTTCATGACTTTGGATTTGGCACTGATTTTATTAATATATCAAAAACAAGCCACAGAAGTAAAAAATACACAAATGGGACCACATGACAAGGAAACAAGAGTAAAAAGATAACTGGTGGACTGAAAGAAAATATTTGTGTTGATTTGTATTGAAAAAAAAATGCCAATTTGGCAGGGTGCCGATGGCTCACACCTGTAATCCTAGCTACTCAGGAGGCTGAGATCTGAGGATCACAGTTCAAAGCCAGTCCAAGCAGATAAGTCCATGAGACTCTTATCTCCAATAAACCACTAGAAAACCAGAAGTGGTGCTATGGCTCAACCAGTAGAGCACTCACCTTGAGCTGAAGAGTGCAGGGACAGCGCCCAAGCCCAGAGTTCAAGCTCCACTACTGACAAAAAAAAAGTCAATTTAAATATATATAAACATATTTATATGCCTTTTTTATTTTTTGGTCCAGTCGTGTGGCCTGAACTCTGGGTCTGGGTGCTGTCCCTAAGCTGTTCAGCTCAAGGCTAGTGCTCTACCACTTAAGCCACAGTGCCACTTCTGGCTTTTTCAGCTTATGTGGTACTGAGGAATGGAACCCAGGGCCTCATGCATGCAAGGCAAGCACTCTACCACTGAGCCACGTTCCCAGTCTCAATGCATTTTATATAGTATAAAATTTATACATTAATATGCTATATTTATATATTATGTGTACAAAATATATACTATATAAAATAAATACACATTTTTTGTTTCCTAGGCCTAGAGCTTGAACTCAGGGCCTGGACACTGTCTCTGAGATTTTTTGCTCAAGCCATGGTTCCACTTCTGGCTTTTTGTTCGTTAACTGGAAATGAGTCTCACGGACTTTCCTGACCAGGCTGGCTTTGACCAGCTATCTTCAGATCTTAGCCTCCTGAGTAACTAGGAATACAGATGTGAGATACCAGCGCCTGGCTTAAAAATATTTTAATGAAGTTTGGTCCCTCAAAAAGGAATGTGGGGGGGCTGGGAAGGTGGCTCAGTGGCAGAGTGCTTGCGTTGCGTGCATGAGGCCCTGGGTTCGATTCCTTAGCACCACATAAGCAGAAAAAGCTGGAAGTGGTGCTGTGGCTCAAGTGGTAGAGTGCTAGCCTTGAGCTGAAGAGCTGAGGGACAGCACCCAGGCCCAGAGTTCAACCCCCATGACCAAAAAAAAAAAAAGGAATGTGTGGGCTGTCAATGTGGCTTGGTGTCAGAGTGCTTGCCTAGTAGCATGCATGAAGCCCTGGGTTCAATTCCTCAGCACCACCTAAACAGAAAAAGTTGGAAGTGGTGCTGTGGCACCAGTGGTAGAGTGCTAGCCTTGAGTAAAAGCAGCTCAGGGACAAGCCCAGGTCCTGAGTTGAAGCACTAGGACTAGAAAGAAAAAAAAAGGAATGTGCTTTAATTTTTGGAACTCATTTAGGAAGAACATTCCATTCTCTTACAAGCTGAACAAATGACACACACTTGAAACGCCTGATCTTCAAAGTAGTATTAAGGTGCCCCAAGCTTTCATTTGAAAATCTTACTGCCAAGAACTTGTCAAGAAGATCTACAGTATGTTCCCACATTAATTTCTGTGTCTGTTCATTCTCTAGCATAAATTTGGCAAAGTCTGAACCTGCCTCAGTAGAGCCATCTGATTCTGCTAGCAGTGAACTCAATTTGAGGGTGGGAATCATTGGATGTGGCCGCCTTGGGAAGCAGCTGGCTTGTTCACTGCTGAAGCTTGTCCCCATCCCTGCAGAGAACCTTCGGATATCCACACGGAGGCCAGACGTCTTGGGTGAGGAGTGGGGTCTGTTATAAGGGGGCTTAGTTGTGCTGATAGATGTTCACAAAGCCATTTTGAAATGGTTCCTTCAAAGGGGAATCCTTGTGTGGACTTCTCACACTGCTTGCTCTGAGGGAAGCTAGAAAGACAGATTTTAAACTTATACTTTGGGCTGGGAAGGTGGCTCAGTGGTAGAGTGCTTGCCTTGAATGCATGAGGCCCTGGGTTCGATTCCTCAGAACCACATAAGCAAAAAGAAAAAAGCCGGAAGTGGCATTGTGGCTCAAGTGGTAGAGCACTAGCCTTGAGCTGAAGAGCTGAGGGACAGCGCCCAGGCTCAGAGTTCAGGCCCCACAACCAGACCCCCCCCAAAAAAACAAAAAAACTTATGCTTCAACAACTTTTTACTCCCATTATGTTTTCCTACACATTGCTCCTCCTCTTTTGTCATAAACAGCTTTCCATACAGATTTCAAATACAATCAGACCAGGTGTGTGTGGGGAGGGATGGGAAGGTGGCTCAGTGGTAGAGCACTTGCCTTGCAATGCATGAGGCCCTGGGTTCGATTCCTCAGCACCAAATAAGCAAAAAGAAAAAAGCCAGAAATGGCGCTGTGGCTCAAGTGGTAGAGCGCTAGCCTTGAGCAGAAGAGCTGAGGGACAGCGCCCAGGCCGAGTACAGGCCCCACAACTGGACTCCCCCTCCCCCCAAAAAAAGAAATCTGGTGTGTGTTAAAACAGTTGCAAATATTTGCATCAGAATATATATATATATATATATATATATCAGAATATATATATATATATATGTATACATTTAAAATAATGACTGAACTTCAAAAAACTTTTCTGTTGATTCTATTTACTTATCTATGTGATAGAAATAAGGACAATGATGGCTTCTAGAAAGACAGACTGAGAAGAGGCTGAAAATAACTTTCTAAGGAAGGAAATGTTTTATATATGGGTTTTGTGGAGATAAGCATTTGTCAAAACTATTGAAATTATATATTTCTCATCCCTGTGTGGCACTGTATATGCATGCAAAAAATAAACATATTGTAGAAAAATCTCTCTGAAAGAGTGTACTGACAACTTATAGTCTTCATAGCAGGGTTATCACTTTCTTCCTATTTCTTCCCCATCAGTCATGGATGCTGTACCTACTTGTTTGTATCCTGCTATTAATAAATCACTGAACATTCTGCAAAGAATGTCCTTCCACTGTCCCATGGGTGGGCTCTGAGAACATTGCCTGGGTCTCCCAGGAAGGCTGTATGCACACCTGTCTGGCAATACTGAGAATGTGTGTGCTATACCAGGCAATGGCCAGGAGGGACAGCTACTCTGCACCATTCTCCCTTTCTCTGATTTCTTAGGATAGAAAGTTGGTTTTAATGTAAAAATGACTTTAAGATTCTGTAGATGACAAAGTATGCATGTGCCATCATTTCTATAGCTAGTGGAATTTTCTTGTACAAAGCTTCCAAAATTACTAGGTCAACAATTAGATTCAGGTGTGTCAAAACATTATTGATTAATAATAAATTGTACTTAAAGTGTACAATTTGATTGCATTTTGTGCTTTTCCTAGGTCCTGACACTGTTCCTGAGCTTTTGTGCTCAAGGCTAGTGCTCCACTTCTGGCTTTTTTTGCTGGTTAATTGGATATAAGACTTTCCTACTGAGCCTGGCTTTGAACCACAATCCTCAGATCTCCATCTCCTAAGTATCTAGGATTATAAGCTTGAATCACTGGTGCCTGGCTACAATTTGATATTTTGATCCAGGTGCACACCTGCAAAACCAACACAATCAAGATAATAACACACTCATCACCTCAGAAGTTGCTTGTTGTCTTTCTGAGCCTGTCTCTCTAGCTCCCTGAAGCTCTTTGCCATAAAACCAGTGACAATGGTTTCTGTCACCGTAGATTAGTTTGTATTAAGTAGAATTTTATATTTTTACAAGTAACAAATCTACACCACCCAAGTTGTTAATATACATTTTAGTTGTTTTAACAGTATTACTTTTGAGCAGACTTTAAATAAATACACAAAAAGTTAGCACATTATAAACAAAATATACAAAACAAAACAACCAGCATTTAGATGGTCAGTAGCACGCATACAGAGGTAGTCTGGTTAGTGTTATTACTGGTACCTTGCCTATTTAACAGTTCAACAATATCAGTTATTTTGCTCCTAATTCCCCCATAGTTCTCCAAAATCAGCCTATACATGCATACAGAATGGACTTTCCTTTAAAATTACATGAATTAAGTAGAATTGTATACTGATGGAGTCACATGGGGTTTTTGACCTGACTTCTTTCACTTTGCATAAATATTGTGAGCTATAGCTATGTCCTTTAGGTATCAATATCTTTTTAATTTCTGAATAGTATTTCATTGAATAAATATACCCCACATATTATTCATCTAAAATATAGGTTGTTTTCTAGCTGGCTATTACAAATAGAACTACTATGTATATTTGTATAAAAGTGTTCATGTGGGCATCTACTTTTATTTTTCTTGGGCAAATACCTGGTAATGAAATGACTGGGTCCAGTAGTAGGTATGTGTTTATTTTTTAGGGGGTGGAGGGACAGGTATTGAGGGTTGAATTTAGGGCCTTGTACTCTGGAATGGCTTTTTTACTCAAGGCTCCTGCTCTGACACTTGAGCCACAATTCCACTTCTGGCTTTTTGCTGGTTAATTGGAGATAAGAGTCTCATGGACTTTTCTGCCCATACTGGCTTCAAGCCACATCCTTCAGATATAAGACTTCTTTTTTGGGGGGGTGGTCTGGTCGTGGGGCCTGAACTCTGGGCCTGGGCACTGTCCCTCAGCTCTTCAGCTCAAGGCTAGCACTCTACTACTTGAGCCACAGTGCCACTTCCGGCTTTTATTTTTTTGCTTATGTGGTTCTGAGGAATCGAACCCAGGGCCTCATGCATTCAGGGCAATTGCTCTACCACTGAGCCACCTTCCTAGCCCCAGATAACAGACTTCTGAGTAACTAGGATTACAAGTGTGAGTCATTAGCATCTGGCTAGGTATTTATTTATTTATTTTGGTGTCAGTCCTAGGGCTTGAACTCAGGGCCTGGCCACTGTCCCTGAGCTTTCTTGCTAAAGGCTAGCACTCTACTGCTTGAGGCACTTCTGGGTTTTTCGGTGGTTAACTGGAGATGCATGTCTCATGGACCTTCCTGCCCAGGCTGGCTTTTTTTTTTTTTTTTTTTGGTCCGGTCGTGGGGCCTGAACTCTGGGCCTGGGCGCTGTCCCTCAGCTCTTCAGCTCAAGGCTAGCGCTCTACCACTGAAGCCACAGTGCCACTTCCGGCTTTTTTCTTTTTGCTTATTTGGTGCTGAGGAATCGAACCCAGGGCCTCATGCATGCGAGGCAAGCGCTCTACCACTGAGCCACCTTCTCAGCCCCCCAGGCTGGCTTTTAACCTACTCCAGCCTTCTGAGTAGCTAGGAAACAGACATGAGCAGCCAGTGCCCAGCCCATATGTTTACTTTTAAAAGAAAAGTTCTGGCTGGGACACTGGTGGCTCACACCTATAATTCTAGCTATTTAGGAGGCTGAAATCTGAGGATCGTGGTTCAAAGCCAGCCTGGGCAAGAAAGTCCATGAGACTTTTTTTTTTTTTTTTTTGGTTCTGGCCTGGGCGCTGTCCCTGAGCTCGTCAGCTCAAGGCTAGCGCTCTACCACTTGAGCCACAGTGCACTTCCGGCTTTTTTCTTTTTGCTTATGTGGTGCTGAGGAATCGAACCCAGGGCCTCAAGCATGCAAGGCAAGCGCTCTACCACTGAGCCACCTTCCCAGCCCTCCATGAGACTCTTATCTCCAATTAACCACCAGGAAACCAGAAGTGGCACTGTGGCTCAAGTGGTAGAATGCTAGCCTTGAGCTGAAGAGCTCAGGGAAAGCACCCAGGCCCAGATCAAGCCCCATGACTGACAAAAAGAAGTCTCACAGAGTTTCCTGCCCAGGGTAGCTTTGAACAACAATCAGATCTTAGCCACCTAAGTAGCTAGGGTTAAAGAAATGAACCAGCAGCCTTTAGAAATCATTAACATTACCATTTTAATATGTCTTGTATAAAATTTTCTTATTTTACTGATTTTAATCTCTAGAAAAGTTACCTTTTCTCCATAGGTTTAATGCTATTTCATCTGTGAGTTGCTTTTGTTCTTTTATTCTTTTTGTGAGGGTGCCTATATTTTTCTTACTGATCTGTGTGTATGTTTTCTTTTTTTAATACGATGGAAACTTTAGAAAGTCTTACCACTCAAGAACCTCACTAAGTAGGACTGGTATGCATAGTAACTCAATGCAGTATATAGTCTTTGGGGGAGTAATGTGTTTATTAGAAATGAAATTTCAGTTTTAAACTATTTGTATTATAGAAGGAGACAAGAATTCCAGAGGCTTATCTGAGTGGGCCACCTATTTTTCTCCTATCCATCTTCAAGTTTATAAAGATGTAGATAATCTCAACATAACTTCTACCATGCACTTGGTCATTAAGATATGTCTGTTAGGGGCTGAGAAGGTGGCCCAGTGGTAGACTGCTTGCCTTGCATGCATGAGGCCCTGGGTTCAATTCCTTAGCACCACATAAGCAGAAAAAAACAGAAGTGGTGCTATGGCTCAAGTGGTAGAGTGCTAACCTACCTGGGACAGTACCCAGACCCAGATTTCAGGTCCTACAACTGACTCCCCCCCCCCGAAAAAATATATATACATATATCTGTTATCTGTTTTTTCAATAACACTTTGAGAGGCTGGGAATATAGCTTAGTGGCAGAGTGCCTAGCTTGCATGAAGCTCTGGGTTCGATTCCCTAGTATCAATCACATAAACAGAAAAAGCCGGAAGTGGCCCTGTGGCTCAAGTGGTAGAATGCTAGCCTTGAGCAAAAGAAGACCAGAGACAATGCTCAAGCCCTGAGTTCAAGCTCCAGGACTGGCAAAAAAAAAAAAAAAAAGACAAAATCAGTAACACTTTGAACATACTACCGCACATGAGTGTGTATTTTGAATTCTTTCTTTTGATAATCCATTCTGCAATGAATACAACCATAGGATTAACTTACTAGGAATGTTTTTCAGGTAACTACAGGTTACTACATCTCTCTACACATAAATATCCTATTACCATTAAGCTGTGTATACTATGTAGAAACAGTTCCTTCTTTCCAAATACCTTCCAGCCTCTGCTCTCTTTAATGTTAACTACCCACCAAAGTCAAGAGCTGTATTATATTGGGCAAATCACATAGCTTCCTGAAGCCTCAGTTTCCTTGCGTATATACTATGGGAGTATGGAGATATAATACTAGTCTCTGTCTAAGAAAGTCCATGTGAGGTTTACCTCAAATAATACACATATGTAACATACAATGACACATGATGAGCCTTTGGCAAATTGAAGCAAAAAGACTCTTAGAGAATACTTTCTTCCTTAAAAACATTCCAGCATTGGCCTGAAGGTAAGAGAAAGATGACTTCATTTCAATCACTGTTGCAATGACACCACCTACTTTGGTAATGGGATTAGGGCATTGCAGCATAGCTCATAGAAGGCATATAGGATGATCTTTCTGATTTATGTAGCAACAAGACTTGGGTTGCTTCCTGAGATTGATCTTCTCTCCAATCTGATGCTCAGGTTCAACTCCTTTGTCTGCTCTTTCTGTCTTCCTTTATCGTTTCCAGATGTTATCCAGAAAGAGGGGGTCCAGTGCTTTTACCGTAACCCTCACCTGGCGGGCTGGGCCAACGTGCTATTCCTCTGTTGCTTGCCATCTCAGTTGCCTAATATCTGCTTAGAAATTCAAGGAAGTATTGAGAAGAACTGCCTCGTGCAAAGCTTTGCATCTGCTATCCCACTGCCCAGGTATCTTGTGGGGACAAGAACAGACCAGGCAGAACTGCTGCCTCCTCTTCTCTGCTCTCTGCTATTCACCTTCCTCAGAAATAGAGAGGAAGCAGTTTGATCTGTAAAGGACTCAGCCAACTTTTCTAATTATGTCTCTCCCAATTTAAAGTACTTGTGGGTGGGATATTTTCTTGGCTGTACAAATATGTGCAACTACCATATGTTGTCACCCACTACCTGCAGCTAAACATTATTCCTTTGTTCATCAGGGAAAAAGGAAAACACCACAGTCAATCACATAAAACATTACTGAAAATAGTAATGGAGAATTGCTACATAGTAAATTATTTTTGTACTTAATGTCTAGCCCAGTATCTGACACATAACTTTTCATGTAAGCGCTTGTTAGGTAGATAGATCCAACTCATTAATGCTCTCTGTGTAGACCCAGACCTATATTTGTTTGAGCAGGGCTGTGTATCACAATCTGTTGCTGGGCTTGGATATGAATAGAAATCCATTCCTGGCACTGCTACTCCCTATCTTGTTTGGCTTCCAGATTGAGACTACTACTGAACAACCACACCAATATCTTGCGGCCTGTGTATCACTGTGTTGAGGATACTGACCATATCTGGGGAGCCAATAAGGATATTGCAACTGCGCTCCAAGACCCCGTGATTCTTCAAGCTACCTCCCCATTCAGTTCCAGAGGTAATGCATTGTTCACCATATTTCTGCATTCTTTTTTTTTTTCTTGTCAATCATGGGGCCTGAACTCTGGGGGGTGCTTGAGCTCTTCAGCTCAAGGCTAGCGTTCTACCACTTAAGCTACAGTGCCACTTCCAGCTTTTTCTGCTTATGTGGTGCTGAGGAATCGAACCCAGGGCTTCATGCATGCAAGGCAAGCTCTCTACCACTGAGCCACCTTCTCAGCCCACATCTGGCATTCTTCTGAACAGTACCTTATCCTCAGCCTATTGCTCATATTAAGTTTGTATGTGCCATGTATGTGTTTGAAACAAGTAGTCATTTAGTTTTAGTAGTGAAAATATTTAGTGATGACAAATAACCCTTATTAGCAAGATTGATTATTTGGATTCTTATGCATGAATTGGAAACAACTAGATGAAACTGCCATTTAAAATAGGAGAATACAGTGTCTGGGACTAAAATGGCTTTTCCCTGTTCTAATCTTGCAGTTTTTCCCAGTAATTCCCCCTTATTATCAGGGATCATTCTGGAGAACTTTTTGGGGGGGGGAGTTGGGGGGAGGGTAGTACTAAGGTTTGAACTTGTGTTTATAAAGCAATTGTTCTCCACTTGAATCATGCTCCCAGCCCTTTTTACTTTTTAGATAGGATCTCATGCTTTTGCTTGGGGCTAGCCTCAAACTTCCATCCTCAGACCTCTGCCTCTTGTATGTCTAGGATTACAGATATGTATTGCCACACCCAGTTTATTTTTATTTTTCAGATAGGGATTTTCTTTTTGTCCCAGGCTGGCTTAAAACCATAATTCTCACATCTTTATTTACTGCATAGCTGGAATCACAGGCATGTTCCATTTTGGATATGTTTTTGCCATTAGCAATCTACATTTGTTCCTGTCTTCCTCCTTTAGTATAATCAATACATTATATGTTATAAAGGGCAGATGAAGCTCTTAGCCTCAGAGGGAGGATTTTTCACTCATTTCAAGGTCTACATTATTAGCCTGTATTGGAAAAATGGTGGCTTCTATAGTTACTGTCTGGGGTCTTAGGTTCCTGCAGCACATTTTTAGTAACGTTATTTTGTTCCCTCTCATTGATGTACAGGGGGAATAACCCTCAATATTAAATGGTTGGAGGGAGTATTGTATGCAGTCCTAAATGTCTGCACTTCAAGAAGCCTTTTCTACCCAAAAGCACTGGAGATGCTGAACAAACTATTTTTCATTACTCAGTCTGAAGACTCAGCTTGTCCAAGTTTTCAGCTAGAACATTTTGTCAACCAAATCTATGTCAGGAACTTGTTTCACAGAAGGTAAGAGGTCAGATAGCAGATGCTTTTCCCCTTCTTTTTCCTTTCATGCGCCATGTTCAGTTTCTCTCTCCCTCCCTCCCTCCCCCCCCCTCTCGTGAATGCACGTGCTCTTTCCTGGATTGGGTATTGAATGCAGGGCTTCTTGCTTGGTAGTTTGGCATTCTAACACTTGATTATGCCTCCAGTCCCCTTCTGTTTCTGTCTCTTTCCACACCTCTCCTTTTTCCCTGAGACAATTTCTCAGTATGTATTCAGACTGGCCTTGAACTTGTGATCCTGAGTGCTGTGAGATTGTAGGCATACACCATCATACTTAGCTCATGTTCTATTTTGAAACTGATAAATGTGCTTCTATAAAAATCCAACCAGCTGATACCAAAGGTTCATGTCTGTTCACATCTGCAATCCTAGCTACTTAGGAAGTTGAGATCTGAGGAACGAGGTTTGAAGTCAGCTCGGGCAGGAAAAGTCTGGGTGACTCTTTATCTCTGATCATTTACTTTAAAAAGCCTGGAAGTGGAGCTGTGACTCAGTGGTAGAATATTATCTTTGAGCAAAAGCTCAAGGACAGCTTCCAAGCCCTGAGTTTAAGCCCTAAGATGGGCGCACACACAAAAAAATCCAGCCAATGGAAAAGCAAAAGCTCTTCTGTCTCCTATATCCCATTTCATAGGTTTTATCTTTTATAGTTTTTATATTTGTGTCATTTTATGGCGTTATTTGCATACATTATCATGTATGTTCATATCCTAGAGTTAGAAATGAAAAACTACATGTAATGCCATTGTCTATTAGTACAGTCATATCTGCTTCATTTATGAATGAGTATGCTGGCATATACTCTTTGACTTCCTGGCCTACAGAACTCTGAGTTAAATAAACTCTACTCTTTACAAATTGCCCAATCTGTGGGAGTCAGTGACAGGAACAGAAAATGATTAGGACATTCGTATATAATAGAGAGGCTGACTTCTGGTGACAGTGGGGTTTGAACTTAGAGGTTTGTACTTGCTTGGCAGGCATTCTACCACCTAAGCCACACTGTCAGTCCAGGAGATTGACTTTTGTATATTAATCTTATACCTTCAACTCATATACAATGAATTTACATAAATATCATGTAAATATATAGTTACATTCTACATTTACAATGAATCTAAGCACACTTTCACCACTTCACAGGTTATGGATTTATTTTGTCAGTTGTGGGGCCTGAACTCTGGGCTTGGGCACTGTCCCTTAGCTCTTCAGTTCAAGGCTAGTGCTCTACCACTTGAGCCACAGCACCACTTCTAGCTTTTTCTGCTTATGTGGTGCTGAGGAATTGAACCCAGGGCCTCAGGCATGCAAGGCAAGCACTGTAACACGGAGCCACCTTCCTGGCCCAGGTTATGTATTTTATAGTGAAACAATCCTAATTCCTTGCCCTCTTCGTTGAATTATTGCTGACATTCATTTTTTTTTATTGTAAAGATACTATACAGAGGGTTACAGTTACATGAGTGAGGTAATGAGTACACTTCCTCTTGAACATTGTTAGCCCCTCCATT